AATCGTAAGCGTAAGGAAATCGACCAATCCCAATCGAGTATTCGGCTCATCGTAATAATGGAGGGGTTATGAAGAGCCGAGTGCTCGATTGGGATTGGTCGATTTCTTTACGCTTACGTTTTAAATTCTTACGGAATTTTGTGTGTGATGGTCTTTAGCATAGACATATATAATAGACTGCGCCGTGGGTGTATATCAGTTGGACACGGGGCAATTGGACACAGTCCAATCACAAGTCGCTGTTCCAAGGGACCCTACAAATGTCTCTAATCACACGGTGCTGTGATTGGCTGTGTCCAATGCACCGTGTCCAAGTGCACCGCTCCCGAACTTTTCACTTTTCGCTCTATCGATTTCACGTGAACTTTTTCATTGTTCACGCAATCAAATAACTCTATACGTGAAAAGCACAAATCATTAAACATAGTTATTATATAATTTCAATATACATTTTCGCATGCGTATCTCATTCGCATACTATCAAGAATCGAGCCCCTGATCTACTCCTGTGTTCACGAGACTACAAAAGTAGGAGCAAGAGTAGACCATAGAATATTACAGTTATAGATGGAAGATTATACTATTCTCTCGGATATCCAGATCTCTCGTTTTACTCTCGTTATCGTAAGCACCCAAGTTCACATGAAAAGTTTCACGTTTCTACGCTTCGTCTAGTTTAGTGATCGCAAGTTCACGTGAAACTTTTCACTTTTCCCGTTTTCGCCCTAGGGGAAAAGTTACATGATCGCTGCCCATAATGGGGGAGAACAGAGTTCGGTTTTCGTGAGGTTGAACAAAGCGAGAAAATATTAGTTCTCTCAGTTAGTCGGACGTAACAGTGGCAAAACAAAAACAAAAAAATCTTATTCAAATTAACTTATTAATTAAACAAATAAAATAAATCAAATTATTTAAAATGACACCTACAACATTCAGCAAACGGATAACCATTCGTTGACGTTCTCTGAAAATGAGAATACAGATCGTAATTTAATAAAAATCGTAGTTCTTTTGTAATGGTGCTTTCCAGTTGCGTACACTGTGTTACACAAAACCAGTTTATTGGTTGCATATTATCTTACAAGATATTTTAAATAATATGTGACCAATAAACTGATTTTGTGTACGTGTTGTCAATATGTGTTAAGCAATTGGAAAGCATCTTAAGTTTATCAAATAATAATTCTTTGCGACTCCGATAATTACCAAGATGGCCTCTCTCATTTTTGTCTGTTCTCTCCAGTTTATATAAAACCCACATTGCTTACTGGGATAACTCAAAGGCATATATTTTACTGGAAGCCTTCCTGAAGCACACCAAGATAATAATTTAATCTTGCACAATCAAGACATCTCAAATATTTTTAATACGACTGGCTAATTGAATAGAAATTCCCGGTCATACCTAAAAGATGACCAGGAACATACAACTCAGTGAAAGTGATCAGTTGTATTGCCGGATGCACCTTATGTTTATCTGTTAAAACAATTTGTGTTCCCGAAATATAAATTTTTAGTACTATTTTATTAGGTTCATTATCACGAATTACTTTAGCAAATTCGAAAATATTGTTTGTAATCCTACTACAAAAGGAAAGATCTAGTAGTTGTAATTGAGGTGAGAATACAAGAATATCGTGTATCCCATTGTCTGTTATGTTTTCACATCCACTACACTCCAATCCTTTTAGGTTCTTTAGGTTTTTCAAACCATTATCAGTAATTCCAAGCACAAAACTAATATTTAAATATTCTAATTTTGGTAATGCTGCAATAGTTCTTAGTGCAGTATCGTCACAAAAGGAGCTACCTAAAATCATTTCGAATGAGAAATCATACGTTTGAAATATTTAGAATACTCATGTAGGATTCATACTGCGTCCGATGTTCGACGTACGACGTCTAATATTCAATAGGAAAACAGCTTTCTAATATAGAATTCAATTCTCCATTGGAAAACTATTTTTTTATTGAATATTGGATGTCGTACGTCGGACGTCGACGCGGTGTAAATCCTGCATAAAAATGTAAAAGGTATACGGTATAATAATTTACCAGAAATATCTAGAGAAGTAATCTGTTGACAATTGCTTGCTATCTCAGTGAAATGTTTGGGTGAAAATGGAAAGTATGTCAATTTTAGTGTTTGCAAGTTAATAAGGTTAGTAAAACGTAACGCAGCCCCACTTCGCCAGCTGTTGTGTTTGTTAATTCGTAATATTTTTAGCTTTTCGCTATACTTGCTGATAGTTCTCATCATTTTTCTACCAATAGTAGAACAAGTTATCTCAAGATGTTCTAAATTTTCAAGCTTTGCCAATCCCTATATTGAAATATAATTAACGTTATGTACACATTTATATCAACCAATTGTTACAAAAAAAAAATTAAAAAGAAAGACTTACCTTGGAAAATATAATATCCTCAATGTTCGAGCAACATCTTACTATAAGAGTGCGCATTGTCTGGGCTGGCAAATATGATATACATTCACCCGTAAAGTTATCATTACAAAATATTTGCAAATAGTTGAGCTGTGGAAATTCTTGGAAAAATGTTTTTTGTTCATCTAAGTCGTAAAACACTCCCAAAGTAAGCCTAGTTATTTTTTTACATTTGCACAGAAATATTTGTTCGTCCTCTTCATCAATTATTGTTATAGAAATATTAATATTAGTAAGATTGGTACAATATTTCATGACTATTTTGAATAATTTTTCGTTAAACTCTCTTATATTGTAACCAAGTGTAGACATTGTTGCTGGATGGGGCAGATGTAATTTTGTTATAAACTTGCCATATTTTGGTAACATTTTCTCGATTTTCTTCAGAATAACTTCAGCGAATCTATGATATGTTAAAAAATCTGATATTTCGTATATCCATGAAGTATCTATCTCCTTCATTGTATACCAAGAATCTTTACTTAATACTCTCCAACGTTTGCACACTACAAAAATAGTAAGGGTGCTTTTCACTTGCTTAATACATCTTGACATATACGTACATAAAATCAGTATATTGATCATATATTATCTAAAATATCTTGTAAGATAATTTGCAACCAATAAACTAGTTTTGTATAACACAGTGTACGCAAAACATTCTAAGTAAATAGTGCAAACATATCGTAATCATATATATCATAACAATATAAACATAATCAGTGGCCTGGTTTACATCGTGCATTTGATATGCATACTACATAGTAACTTTCTATTAGATAATCTTAAGATTATCTAATAGAAAGTTACTATTTAGTACGCATATCAAGTGCACGATGTAAACCAAGCCACTGATTATGTAAGCAGATAATATAAAGAAATATATCTATCTGAGGCAATAGAAATAACTGTAAATTATATTTGTTGAATTTCTTACCTCTTTCTATACGCATTTTGTCAACAATTGGTAAAAATTGAAAAATATGTTTTAAGCAATCATCGTTCAGTATATTAATAGATGCATTTTGAAAATCATATACTTGAGTTTCTTCCATGGTTATCTTTTTTTAAAGAAGTTTTTGTTTCCTTGTAGTCAGGTTTGCAATTATTTGTAGTCTCTTTTGCTTTCTTGTAATCAAGTCTGCAATTATTTGTAGCGTCTGTTCTCAAGACTCTAGTCGAGTTTTTCAATTCATTGATGAATCCATCGCATGATACGCAAATGCAATGTTTCGGTGTATTTACGCATCATGCGATGGATCTATCGATGAATTAAAAAACTCGCCTTCTATTATACAATCTTATTAGTTTCATCAAGCTCATCATTCAAAATTCTAAGAGATCGTCTACCATACAGTCGCAGTTGTATAGCGGATGAAGAGAAACTTGCGCGAATGTTGCGTAGATATTTACACGCTTTGTAAGTAATGAATATTGAGAAGTAAATAGAAAAGTATATATATTGTAAATTTTATTATAATTAACTTGTATTCTGCAAATGTGTATGGATAATTAAAGATGTATTTTTATTTTACTGATATGTACCCAGTAAGCAAATTGAGCGCAGACTGCGCGCAGATTGGCAGCAAATTTGATAAAAAATCCACAGCAAAACCATAGCCATCTGTGTCTACATTAGGCTACGGTTTTGGCGACAGATCTTGCTGTCGGGCAATTGGTGCCAAATTTGCAGCAGAAACGCGCAAAGCCTGCAGCGCAGCAAGATCTGTGCGGTTTCTACCACCAATCTACCGTCAAATCGCTACAAGCTCTGCGCGGTTTTTGCTGCAAGTCTGCAACAATTTTCCGACAACAGGCTCTGCCGCATATCTGGCGGCAATTTGACAGCAAGATTTGATATAACAGATCCTGCATCAAATTTGTTATCTATTTGCCATCAAAAGTTGATAGCAAGCTCTGCTCGAAATCTGTTCGCGCAGGTTTGGCTATCTGGGTATTTACACATGCGCGCGCGTGTGTGTACATATGTACATATACATATAAACATATATATTAATATCATATATCATAATTTATTTTTAACGGTAACTTGTTTAGTTTGCTTTGTTAATTTTTAATTTAATTAAAGAGAAAAATTTATTTATTCAACTTTGGTAA